CTGGTAACTAGACATGCCATGATTAGATCACACAAAGACTGACTTTGGATGCTGGGAGCAAAATAGGAAGGATATTGGTAGTATGAAAATTATATTAGTTAATTTTCACATGAACAACTTGGGAAAATGGCTGACTATCTCTAAAAATTAGCTCTCTCCAGAAGGTCATGACTGGGTGAAGTGGTTCATGCCTGGGTGAGGTGGTCCATGCCTATAAATCAAGTGATTCAAGGGACTGAAGCTGGTGGATTGTAAGTTCAAGGTCAGCCTGAACAATTTAGTGAGATCCTGGCTCACAGTAAAATTAAAAAAAAAAAAAAAAAAACACCATCTAGGGATCTTCTTCAGGTATAGTAGAACAGCTATAAAATGCTCTTGAGTTAAATCCACAGTAACTTCCTCTGCCCCCAAAATACACCCACCCACCCCACCCCCCACACACATACTCAGTCTAAGAATTTATCCCCTTTATGGTAAGCAAAGCCCCATTGTCAAAGAAGAAAGTCCCAACTGTAAAAGGCCTTGGTAACACAAGTACTTTTTATTTCCAGAGAAAAAAAGAAAATGACTCTGTAGGTTCTTCTAGAGGCTTGCTCTCTGCTCCCTCGGGCAAGGAACTGTGATCGTTTTTTTTTTTTTTTTTTTTTTTGCTTAATGGGCCCTATGCAGCCTTGTGAGTGACTGCAGAGCACCAGGACTCTGTTTTAATAGAATGTCTTCCAGTAAGCCATAAATCTTGGCCAGCAGAGCAGAGAATTTTGATGCCTTTCAACAATCTCTCCTCTGTCCTTTTTTCCTCAATTTGTCACCAGGTGATACCTGCCTGGGGCAAACTCAGGATGTATAGGACAAGTACAGACTACTCAGATACAGAGAAGATGGCAGTGGCAAGGGTTTGAATGTCACTGTAGCTTTGTTTCTCTCGGATGGCATCTTGGAAGGGGAAAGTGAAACACTGCACAGAAAATTCTGGAATGTGCAGGATCAGAAGTCAAAGGTTTTTCTTGTAGATGGCAAGATAATGTCCCAGGTCACCAGCTCCAGCACGGGGTTGCAGATTCTGATGGCCTTAATATTAATTTGTGTGTGTGTGTGTGTGTGTGTGTGAAGTGAAGTCCTCAATGACTCACTATTCATTCTTGGAAAAGAAGACATGGAAAGACTGCTTACTCAATGGGGTTTCTGCTAAGGAAGAATCTTGCCTGTTGTTCAAGTAGGGGAATTTGGCTTGATACTGACAACTGACCCAAGACTAGTAAGTTTTGGAAGGTTGGTAGAACTCTTTGACAGAGAGTTAGTAGCACCACAATCAGGCCCAAATTAATAATTCTCCTGCCTGCAGGCTTTAGGTTTCTTCTGATAATATGCTGTGTGTCTCCTTCTGCTCCTTCTTTTGTTTCTTTCTTCCCTTCCTCACTACTGGGTGACAATCATTGTGCTTAAAGCACTGGGAGAAAAAATAAATTAGAAAAATACCAGTTCTTTTTTCAGCATGTATGATCTACCCTGAGCCTCAGCATGGTAAAAGCTTGTTTTTGGTAAGGGGCTTGCCCATCATGATGATGTTTAGTAATCCTATTCCCTACTTGAAAATAAAAAAATGCCTCTAGAATGCCCAATGTCCACTTGGTGTAACCATTGCCATGGCTGAGAACTACTTAGCAGTGAGGCACAAAGCTAAGTTCACACCTTCAGTGGAGTTTGCATGGGTGTCTCTGTGCCTTCTTGGGGTCTGTTTTATTTAGTTTCATAAGTTTCTAAGCTTTGCCACATCATTGATATTTGTATGGTTTCTCCCCAGTTTGAATTTTCTTGTGTTGAGTAAGGCATAATGTTTTCTTAAAAGCTTTGCCACCTTCTTTACATTTGTATGGGTTTTCTGCAGTATGAATTCTCTGGTATTGAGTAAGGCATGATTTTTGAGTCTAAACTACTGAAACTTTCAGGGGTTTAGTGCACACCTGTTGTGAGAGAGTAACTGAACAGAGGCTACCAGATGAATCGCTCCATCAACAGAGGCACCATATTAATATTTTGGGATTATCATGGAGGTATTTCTGTGACAGTAAAAGTTAGTGGAGGTATCTGTGCTTTATAGCACTATGGTGATCACTAAGCAACTATAGTTAGTACATTTTTTAAAAAAGTTTTTAAATAATGCAATTGTTCAGACTTATGTACAACAAAAACTGAGTCTGATGACCACAAAACCTGAGCCTCTTTGTCTTTTTTTCTTTTTTGTACTTGGGATCAAACCAAAGTGCTCTCTACCACTAAGACACATTCCCAAATCTTTTTATTTACAGTTAGGATCTTCCTAAGTTGCTTAGATTCATGTGAAATTGCTGAGGCTGGTTTTGAAACTGTGATTCTCCTTCCTTGAACTCCCCTGCTGTTTGGATGAAAAGTGTGTGCCAGTGTGCCCAGCAAAAGATTGAGTCTTCCAGAATCCTGAGAGGACGTGAAGTACTGCAGTGGAAGAGATTTTCTCATACTTTATTAACTGTTAAAAACATCATTTACTTGGAAGAAGCAACTTGAAGAGCCAAGGATGGGTCCAGGGAAAGATGTAACTTTCTGAGCTTTCACTGTGTGGCTTGGGACAGACCTTTTTCTGAGTGACAAAACTGTATCCTTGTAAATGTTACTGGAAGGATGGACTCACTAATTCAAATGCTTTTCATTGACACCATTTTTTAACCATTCTTTTTTTTTTCAACTGTAACAAAATTATTGATTTAAAAAATGTGCAGGGCTGTGGTTTTCTATTAAGAGAAAAAAGGGCAACTATGTTTCATCAGGTACTGTCTCAGTGGTCTCTAAAACAGATGTCATATATATGCAAGCAGAGCCACACTTTGGTACAAAGACACACAGTGTTTTCCCTGGTCTGTCTAGTAAAAGCTATAGTATGTTTAGGGGTGGGAAAATGTAGTGTGCTTCTTTCTCATTTTTTCAGACCCTCTGAAGGCTCAGGGGCTCAAAGTCATGAATGGAGTCTCAGGACCCTCCGGGGTCATGGACAGGCCTCTTGCTGTCTATTTAGTGTGAGCATTCATACCCACTACATGTGTGGATTTAACCACAACATATGTTGCATTTTACTGTTCAATATCTTTGTTTCTCAGCCACCTGGTTTCAAATTTGTGAACTCTGCATTTGATGTAGAAAGCTAAGATGTTTCATGCAGGACATTTCAAAAGCCAGAATCTGATGCCTGAAGTGTGACAAAACCATCTTTTTATGGACATGAAATCCTGAGTAAAATTTTTTAACTAACTACAAAGCAAAAGACATTGATTTCTGGGTGCAGGGATGCATGCCTTGTATCCAAGCAGTGCATGAGCCTGAAGCAGGATAATCACAAGTTCAAATCCAGTCTTAGTAGTAAAAGTGAGACCCTAAGCAACTCAGTGAAATTGTGTCTCTAAATAAATACAAAATAGGGCTGGGATGTGGCTTAGTGGTTGAGTGCCCCTGAATTCAATCCTCGGTATACAACCAAAACAAAATTAAATAAATAAGACATCGACATAGGACCATGCTCTCCAGCTGAGATTATGGGGAATATATTGATGTAACATAGACTTCAGGCATAAGATAATTTTATTAATGTGTTGGTTTGGTACAAATAGGCCTTTAAGTCCAGATATAGCTTTTGAAAAAGAAAAAAAAGATGATTTGAATTCAATCAATACAGAGAACCTGAGGAAAGGACAATTGAACCTGGAGAGGTCCACAGAAGGAAAGAAGGTGAAGCATCCAATCATGCTTCCTGCCCACTTCCATGGGCTAATGAGTAATGGCCATTTGGGCAAGGGTTGGAATTTTATGGAGTCAGTGCTTTGGAGCTATCTCTGGGCAATTGTAATTGTTCTTCCCAGTATGAAGTTTCTGGTGACCAATGAGGTTTGATCTTACAGGAAATGACTTTTAAGTCTGTGGATTTGTGAGAATTGTTGAAAGTATGAATGATCTGTTTCTTGTCAACACTTGAAGCATACTTAAAATATGCCACATTCTTAACACTTACATGGCTCTTATTCAGTATGAATATTTGGTGAACAACAATACTTTTCCTAATAGAATAGCTTTGCCACATTCTTTGCATTTGTATAGTTTCTCCCCAGCATGAATTTTCTGGTGTTGAGAAATGTGTGATCTTTGATAAAGAGCTTTGCCACATTCTTTAAACTTGTATGGCCTTTTCCTAGTATTAATTCTCTTGTGTCAAATAAGTTATATTAGATTAGGCTTTGCCACATTCTCCAAATTTGTATTGATTTTCTCCCATAAGAAGTCTCTGGTGTTGACTAAGGAGTGACCTTCAATTAGAAGCTTTGCTACATTATAGATATTTGTATAGTTTCTCCCTAGTATCAATTCTCTGGTATTGAGTAAGGCACGATTTTTGATTCAAAGCTTTGCCACATTCTTTATATTTGTATGGCATTTCTCTACTATGAAGCCTCCAGTGTCAAGTAAGGTGTGATTTTTGATTAAAAGCTTTGCCACATTCTTTATATTTCTATGGATTTTCTCCAGTATGAATTCTCTGGTGTTGATTAAGGCATGATTTTTTATTAAAAACTTTGCCACTTTTCTTCACATTTGTATGCCATTTCTCCAGTATGAACTCTCTGGTGTCGAGTAAGTTGTGACTTTCGATTAAAAGCTTTGTCACATTCTTTACATTTGTATGGCTTTTCTCCAGTATGAATTCTCTGGTGTTCATTCAGGTGTGATTTTTTATTAAAAGCTTTGTCACATTCTTTACATTTGTATGGCTTTTCTCCAGTATGAATTCTCTGGTGTTCAGTAAGGTGTGATTTTTTATTAAAAGCTATGCCACATTCTTTACATTTGTATGGCATTTCTCCAGTATGAAGTCTCTGGTGTTGAGTAAGTTTTGATTTTTTATTAAAAGCTTTGCCACATTCTTTACATTTGAATGGCTTTTCTCCAGTATGAAGTCTCTGGTGTTGAGTAAGTTTTGATTTTTCATTAAAAGTGTTGCCACATTCTTTACATTTGAATGGCTTTTCTCCAGTATGAAGTCTCTGGTGTTCAGTCAGGTGTGATTTTTTATTAAAAGCTTTTTCACATGCTTTACATTTGTATGGCTTTTCTCCACTATGAATTTTCTCGTGTGTAGTAAGGTGTGATCTTTGATAAAAAGCTTTCCCACATTTTTCACATTTGTATGGCTTTTCTCCAGTATGAATTCTCTGGTGTTCAGTCAGGTGTGATTTTCGATTAAAAGCTTTTTCACATTCTTTACATTTGTATGGCTTTTCTCCAGTATGAAGTCTCTGGTGTTGAGTAAGGTGTGATTTTTGATTAAAAGCTTTGCCACATTCTTTACATTTGTATGGCTTTTCTCCTGTATGAAGTCTCTGGTGTTCAGTAAGGTGTGATTTTGTATTAAAAGCTTTGCCACATTCTTTACATTTGTATGGCATTTCTCCAGTATGAAGTCTCTGGTGTTGAGTAAGTTTTGATTTTTGATTAAAAGCTTTGCCACATTCTTTACATTTGAATGGCTTTTCTCCAGTATGAAGTCTCTGGTGTTCAGTCAGGTTTGATTTTCGATTAAAAGCTTTTTCACATGCTTTACATTTGTATGGCTTTTCTCCAGTATGAATTTTCTGGTGTCTAGTAAGTTGTGATTTTTGATTAAAAGCTTTTTCACATGCTTTACATCTGTATGGCTTTTCTCCACTATGAATTTTCTGGTGTCTAGTAAGGTGTGATCTTTGATAAAAAGCTTTCCCACATTTTTCACATTTGTATGGCTGTTCTCCTGCATGAAGTCTCTGGTGTTCAGTAAGGTGTGATTTTTTATTAAAAGCTTTGCCACATTCTTTACATTTGTGTGGCTTTTCTCCAGTATGAATTCTCTGGTGTTCAGTCAGGTGTGATTTTTGATTAAAAGCTTTGTCACATTCTTTACATTTGTATGGCTTTTCTCCAGTATGAATTTTCTGGTGTCGAATAAGGCATGATTTTGTATTAAAAGCTTTGCCACATTCTTTGCATTTGTATGGCTTTTCTCCAGTATGAATTTTCTGGTGTCTAGTAAGTGGTGATTTTTGATTAAAAGCTTTGCCACATTCTTTACATTTGTATGGCTTTTCTCCAGTATGAAGTCTCTGGTGTTCAGTAAGGTGTGATCTTTGATAAAAAGCTTTGCCACATTCTTCACATTTGTGTAGCTTTTCTCCTGTATGAAGTCTCTGGTGTTCAGTAAGGTGTGATTTTGTATTAAAAGCTTTGCCACATTCTTTACATTTGTATGGCATTTCTCCAGTATGAAGTCTCTGGTGTTGAGTAAGTTTTGATTTTTGATTAAAAGCTTTGCCACATTCTTTACATTTGAATGGCTTTTCTCCAGTATGAAGTCTCTGGTGTTCAGTCAGGTTTGATTTTCGATTAAAAGCTTTTTCACATGCTTTACATTTGTATGGCTTTTCTCCAGTATGAATTTTCTGGTGTCTAGTAAGTTGTGATTTTCGATTAAAAGCTTTTTCACATGCTTTACATCTGTATGGCTTTTCTCCACTATGAATTTTCTGGTGTCTAGTAAGGTGTGATCTTCGATAAAAAGCTTTTTCACATGCATTACATTTGTATGGCTTTTCTCCAGTATGAATTTTCTGGTGTTCAGTAAGGTGTGATTTTTGATTAAAAGCATTGACACTTTTTTTACATTTCCAGATTTTCTCTCCAGTATGATTACTGTAGTGTTTAAAGAGGTTTGACCAACACTTAAAGACATTTTCACATTTCTTCAATTTGTAAGGTTTATCTCCATTGTAAAGCCTATTGTTTTTAGTAACAAATAGAATTTGAGTAAAATATTTTTTACATTCTTTACTTATGGAGGATTTATCACTGCTCTGATAAAGAAATGAGGAATTTTTAAATGATTTTACATACTTTTTTAACTTGTAGATCTTCCCACGAATATTAATTTTCTGGAGTTCAGGAATTCTTGTAGTTTTATTAAAAATGCTTTCACATACCTTATATCTGTAATTTGTCTCTTGATTATAAAAGCTTGGATAAATAAATTTTGGGTATGGATTAAAAATTTTTACACTTTTCTCATTGTAAAGCTCTTTTAAACGATGACATGGGTGATTTCTAGGATTTAAAAAAAAGAAAATTTTAATGACTTTCACAGAATTTACATTGTTTTACACCAAATCTATTATATTGCTAATTACCTAGGGTAGAGACTGTCTACATGTCCTAAAAGATTTATCATAAATATAGGTCTCTCTTAGTATCTACGTCTACTTTTAAATTAAGCAATATTAGGAAAGTACAAATACTCTCACATTCATTATAATTCCATGCATTGCCACAAGGAGAAACTGTTCATTTCATCATTTTTGTGAAGTAACAGTCAGACAAACTAATAAAACTCAGAAATTTTTTTTATTCTTCTTCTTCTCCTTCTTCTTCTATCCTGTCTAGAGAAATATTTGTGGATATTTACTCAATGGTGCATTTTAAATTATTCCAGTGACTAACTAAAGCATGAAATAGACTCCATAGCAAATTTTTCCTGTTTTTAGAGGAAGGGTATAATTACAAAATGCTGTGCAAATATATTTAAAAGCACACACAGGTCCTCAAATTGTACTGCCATATGTGTTGTTGTCTCTCTCCAGCTTAGCCAATGTCCCACATCCCTAGAGTTCCACCTTGCCTCCAACACACTATTGTCTAGTTTTAATTTGCTGGGAATCCTGCAGGCACTGGGACATAATCATGGCCCTGATGTGCCAGAGCTTTCTTCATTAAGCCAAAGAGCAAACTTCATGTGAGCTGAGCTGCTCAACTTTCCAGCAAAAATATCTATCACTGAGGGTGTTTTTAAAATTCTTTCTATGTAACTAGCTCACTGAAATAAGTTAGAGAATACTTTTGATTTGTTGAAAACATATTCCTTGAGATGCACAGATGAGTAGTGCTAGGGCCTCAGAAAAATCTAATGGCAACAGGATTTAGTTCACTAGGGACATGTATAGGATCCAGGAAGTCTCTGTGTCTCACACTTGGAAAGTTTTTTCCATTCCACCTAAAACCACAAAATCCAAAGATCTTTTGGGATATTCACTTGGAGTCTTGTCAAAATCCCTGTTGATATGAAAGATGAAGCAGTGCATGTCAGATGGAGCTGCTGAAAGATATCTATAAACTGTGCATGGAATTAAAAAAAAAAAGCATGGAAGCCTTTAGGGAAAAAAATCTGGTATCTGAGAACTCACAGTTGAAATCCAGCTGGTTTGAGACTATCCAGTACATGTTATATACTACCTAGTTTTGTCTAAATTCAGCATGGCACTGGAAATGGTATCATCCATTGGAGCCACATAGCCACATAGCATCACAGAGATGGTGAGACATGTCAGAATTCTAATCAACCTGTCTCAAGAAATACTCTTCCTTTTGAAATCTTATTCCTACTTTGATGCACACTCCCTTAAATAAAGAACTGGAAAATTATCTAGCAATTGTTTTTCAGAACTTATGTGGTCTAGGGAATCTATAAGATGTTTTACCTCTTTTAACATAAGTTCTTGCCTGGTCTTATGTTCCTTTACTAATTATTTCAGATATATATTTTTTTCAGATGGCTCATCACCTTCCAAAAAAGAAATTACTCAGGTGGGATGCTTGATGTCCCATGACATGGAGTTATTATGCTAACTTATGAGCCATAAATACGTTGGCAACTACACAAACACTGCTTCAAGTTGAATTAAAATTATAAATAATTATTTACAAGCACCTTTGACTCAAATCAAGTTTCAGGGAGAAAGGTCTACAAAAGTGGGCTTCTGGAATGATAGAATCATGAAATGACAAAGATATTATAGATCTTTTTTTTTTTTTTTTTCTTACAGAGAAGTTTCATAGTAAGCCATTCCTCATCCAAAGGTGGTCTTACCTCACCACTGTGGCTGCTTTACTTTTCTCAAAGAGTTTTACAATTATTAGCTTATGCCCTTCATTGTTCTTCATTTGTCCCACAACGTCCCTACTACATCTGTCCCAGGCATGTTTTCTACCTCTTAGCACTAGCCCAGAAAAGTGTCAGAAGCCTTCCACAATTCTCACAAGACCCTCATGTCTGCTTTTGGGGTGTGATGCATTCCTGCAAGCCATTTGGGCTGTGGGTTTTCTGGGGGACTGTGCTAGAAGTTCCTGAGACTTTCCTGTGTTTCGATTGTCATACATGATAGATGAGCTGTATGCTTATTTGATGTGTTTTAGAAAGATTTAACTGCTTCTCTTCTTCTTCTCTTTTGCTTAATTATTATTGCATTTAAACACAATACCTACCAAACTTTCACTGTAAGCACATTTAATTACTGAATTGTTCTTTTCAACAGAAATGTCTTAGTAAGGCTTGTTTCAGCATTTCCTTAATCTGCATGTATTTCTTTTAAGTAGAAATACTATGCATGTGTTTAAATTAGACAATCTGTCTATACTGTGTAGAAAATCTCTTTTTATTACTTTATAAAAAAGACAGATTAGAATGCTGCATCTTTAAATTAATGATCTGTACACTTTTCTCTATCCTGCGGTTATGTAGAGATTATTAAAAGTTTTAAAAACATAACTGACTATAAGCATTTTATAACTTTGTGAGTTTTTTTTTTAATTAAAATGCCTATTTCTATTCTAATCCTATTTCTAAAGCTGAGCAACCTGGTTGAGTCTTTATTTTTCTAAAGGTATTTTTAAGATACAGCTTCATAATACCCTGTAAACATTGTGTAAATGTAATTTGATACGTGTTTTTGCAATTTAAAATATTGTGTATTGCAAGTGGTTTTACAAAAAAATACTGAGCAGTAAAAATTTTACAATTACATTAATGTAATTTAAAGTTTTAACCAAAGAAAACTGAATGGCACTAGTTGAGCAGTCAGTCTTCTGAGATGTTTGTAATAATATAACCTGATGAACTTGTAATTTTCTGAATAAATGATTTTCATGTTTTTTTCCATTCATTAAGACAAATTTTCTGAACTTCCCTCTCTTTCAATTTCAATTTCTTGTTTAAAACCAAGTATTAACTGTCCTGCTTTCCATACCTTTGCTTTTTCAAGTTTTGCAAAAAATATTGTATTTCTTGCTCTCCTGAAAATTCTTGCTTTTGATTAGAAGACATACCTAAAAAATAATAGGAAGTTATTTCACTTACTATGGCAAATAACTCTGCAATTATATAAAACTTTATCAAAGTGAGGGGGAATAGCCACAGAACAGTAGGATTCAAGGATATTATTACTCAAGATATATATAGAATTTACTACAACATGATGACAAAAGCCTTGAGAACTTTGAAAATTATCTTAAGAAATTATAGCACCACAGATGAGGACAAAATGCAAACTGACTAATATTACTACAACAATGTCAAATCATAGCCCTTCACTTCAACATATTCAGACTCCACCTGTGTCTCAAATGTTTCAAGCAATGAATATCTCTTATTTGTTTATTTAAATTTTTATCTTTGGGGGGATTATTTCATAAGAGAACACAGGAGTATTATATCACCAAACTAGATCCACAGGCATTTCTATATTTCTATATTTAGGTCTATATACTTTTTTTAAAGACAGTTTATCAAAAAGATGCTGAAATTTATTTTAAACTGGCATCCCACTGTCTCAGCTTTCCGGTTATATGGAATTAAATTTATATATCATTGCACATAACCTTTTTTGTTTACTTTGTAACTTCCAAATATTTTCCAAAATGACTATAATGATCTAGTTGAACAGATTTTAAATAGAAAAATCCCAATGAAAATAATAGCTCACACAATAAAAAGTATAATCAACTCAAGCAAACAAACAATGTAATAATAGTAATTGAGAGTTCAAAAATTGATGTTGTTAATTATCTAACTAATGCCAGAAAACCACCTGAAATGTATTTAATAAACTATATATCAATATAGAAAATTAAAAAAATAGAAAAAATAGCAAGAGAAATTATATACTAAAAATATTTTTTAAAAACAATGCCTCAGGCTGGGGACACAGCTCACATGTTTGAATTCTTGCCTCACATGCAAAAGGATGGGCTTAGTCCCCAGCACCACACACACACACACACACACACAGTCTCATAAATTAGAAATTTGAGGAAGAAAATATATCAAAGGCTAGAATTAATTAAAATACACAGGTACTGCTGGAAGATGTGGTACATGACTGTAATCCCAGTATCTGGGGAGACTCATGCAGGAGCACCATGAGTTCAAAGACAGACTCAGCAATGGTGAGGCACTAAGCACCTCAGTGAGATCCTATGTACTTTTCTATAATTCCAAAGTAATGATAAAATAAATATTGAAGGTAATAAAATAAAATAATCATCATAAAATCTATAAAATACAAATTAAGGCAGTTTTTTCGTAGTAGAAAAATTTATAAAAAATGAACAAAATTTGAAATCTACAGAAGTAAGTTCTTTCACATCAGGAATTTATGTATAAATAAACTAATTTGAAAAAAAATAATCAGAAAACAATGTGATTAACAAGATTAAACCTAAAAATATATTAACTATGTCAGATGCAAATCTACAGAATGTTTTCTTAAGATATAAGGTCACAAAAAGAGTAAAAACAAAGATATAACAAATATTACATTCAAAATTTCAAAGGTGATAATAATTATATAAATGAGAGACAAAATAGAATATCACATAAAGATAAATATGACTAATCCTGGAATACAATCATTGTAGAAATATTTGTAACTCCAATCCTATTTTTTATATATAGAAAAAAATCACAGAAAAAAATTCAACAGCATAAAAAGCAACACAGTAATAGTAGGATACATCAATCCCCAGTTGATGCAAATATATATATCATTGCATTAGTACCCAGGAAATGAATAAACTTCAAAAAGCATTAAAAACTAATTAGGTTTACAGAGGCAATCTTCTTTATAGTGTATGGAATATTGTTCCAAAGAGATCAGGTTAAAAATACAAAACAAGTGTTAAATATATTAAAATATTGAAGTTGCTTTATAACATAAAATAATAAGTTAGAAAGCAAAAGTGAAAGTGATATTCAAAATTTATGAATAGGAGTTTAAAGCCAAATTCAGCAATTAAGCAAGGCCCCAAGCAACTTACCTAGGCACTGTCACAAAATAAAATATAAAAACAGCTGCCAGCTGGGTACAGTAATATACAACTGTAATTCAAGCAGCTTGGGAGACTGCAACAACAGGATTGTGAGTTCAAAGCCAGCCTCATCAACAGCAAGGTGCTAAGCAAATCAAGGAGACCATGATTCTATGTAAAATTAAAAAATGGGGCTTGAGATGTAGCTCAGTGGACAAGTGCCCCTGAGGTCAATCCCCAGTACCCTTCCCCAAAAAGAGCTGTTGATGTGGCTCAGTGGTTAAGCACCTGTTCTAAAAAAAAAGTGCCAGTAGCACCCCCAAAAATCTAAGAAGACTATTTAATACCAAACAATCAATATATCTTTGTGTAAACAAAATAAGTTATTTGAACAATTCTTTGGAATATTCTTGGTACATCAATAACTACACATAATTAAAAAAATTTAAAAGTACTTCCTGATATAAAATAATAAAAGCTACAATATTCAATGGAATGAGGTTAAATGAGAAAGCCATGGGTAATAAAATTGAAAGTATATCAATTAGCCCTCAACTTGATGGTCAAATCAAAATATATTTACAGACCTATTCTCATTAAACAACATTCAAGAGAGAACAATGTGGCAAGCCAATCAAATATCATTTCAAATGACTACATGAAGGCAATTTGGAATGAAAAAGTTAGAAATCCTTTCAAATATAATAAATTATATAATATCTACAATGATCAACATTCAGGAGAGTATGTTAAGTAAAATAGTAATTCACCTCCCCCCACCCCCCAAAAAAAAATAAATAAAATACCAGGTAATTCTACTTCTGAGAGATATCTACTATAGCCAAATATACAGACCAAAAGGAATGGCATTAAGAATGAAAAAGTAAGACAAAGGAGCACTTGTTTGAAGAAAAAATGTGATACAAATTTTCTAGAAAAAAAAGTTACAAAAAAATTTGAATGAACAGAACTGACCAGTAAATTTAAAATATATGAGACAATAAGTTCAGCAAAGATATACAGTTTTGACCACAATTACAAATTTGACAAATATATAAAAAGTAAAATAATTGTAAACATCTTTATGGTACCTTTAAAAAGCTCAAATCTTACTCCTAGACAAAAGAACAGATGCATATATGGAGAGATGATGAATATGCCATTAATTCTATCTACTTGGAAGGCTGAGACATGGAAATACAATTCCAACTTTAGCCACTTAGAAAGAGTCTATTTTAAACTAAAAGTCAAAAGGGGGTGATGATGTAGCTCAATATTATAAGAACCTCTGAGTTCAATCTGCTGTGTGTGTGTGTGTGTGTGTGTGTGTGTGTGACAAAATTTAGATACATTACATGATTAAGCACAAAAGAACAGTAAATAATCAAGGCACTATATACAATTATATATAAAACAGGGGTAATATTTATACATGTAAGTAAAAGCATAGAAAACTTGATTGAAAATTGGCATATGGGTCACGTGCAGTTTAATTTTACCTAATGTTGTCCTAAAGTGACAAGTCACAATAATTTCTATTCAATTATTACATATAGATATAAAAACAAAAACAGTATCACTAATGTGATAAAACATAATGAACACTGAAGCTCTGTAAAGAGTGAGATTCAAGAAAGACACAAGAATTAGAGAAATGTTACCTACAATAATATGAATAATTGTATGACAATAGAAATCTTTCCTTTAATTTTTTTGTAGCTACAGATGGATAGAATGCATTTATTTTATTCATTTATTTTTAGGTAGTGCTAAAGATAAAACGCAATGCCTCACATGTGTGAGGCAAGCCCTCTGCCACTAAACTACAGCCCCAGCCCTGAAAATTCTTCTTTAAACCACATTGATCAGCTATACTTACATAACCACTAGGAGCAGGTATTGTGAAATACTGCTATTCATTACATGGCAGAAAAACTTCACAGAATATTCAATATAAGCATTCATATAAAGTTCTGATGAGAAAAATTTGAATGAATAAATATTTAAATTATATTAAAGAAACTCTCCTGTAATATTAATATCTTACAATGGTTTAACCTAGAGATATTTGGAAATGAGCAGATTTTCTAGGGACCCCCCAAATGCAAATAAATGGCAGATTATGCATATCCTCACAGTCATTGTGGAATAATTTGTAGGGATTCTGACTGTGGAAATATGCAGAGTAGCATTCCTCTGGTGAGAAAACTCCCAAGGATAACAGGACTTTGTTTCCCCGCCTTAGAATGCCCTGCAATTTTCCCTAGGAACTAGTCAAGTAATTAAATACATGTGCAATGTCAAGCTGCTATGGCAGTGCCCTGCTTGAAAAGGCTCTGCACTAGAATGTTATCAGCCTCAAACATAATCTCTGGCACACAACTCCTTGGAATAAAGAAACTCTGTTTTTTTTATAAGCACAATGTTTCACTGAGCCTAAACCTGTCCACAAAACAGTAAGTTTATAAAATGGACTTTCTTGAGAGTGACACAAAACTCCTAACACTGCACATTGCAACTTAGTATATAACTGAGAAATAAGCTGCATAATGTTGCTAAGTTTGTAACCTGCCTAGTAATAAAATGAACAGTATGTACTAGTGATGCCAATGACCTAAATTAACCTGTTGATATAAATAAAGCTTGGCAGTTTGGCCTCTCTGTACTATGTCACATTTCCTGTCTCTTGTCTGTGTCTTCTTTGATTTTCTTTCTTTTTTTTTAAGAGAGAGAGGGAGAGGGAGAGAGAGAGAGGGAGAGGGAGGGAGAGAGGGAGAGAGGGAGAGAGGGGGGAGAGGGAGAGGGGGAGGGGGAGGGGGAGGGAGAGAGGGAGAGAGAGAGAGAGAGAGAGAGAGAGAGAGAGGGAGAGAGAGAGAGAGAATGAATTTTAATTTTGTTTCCAGTGGACACAACATCTTTCTTGTATGTGGTGCTGAGGATTGAACCCAGGCTGCAGTAAACCACGTTATCACTTGAGCCACATCCCCAGCCCCTCTTCTTTTGATTTTCCTACAATATTTT